TTGTTTGCCTTCTTCCTCCTAATTATACCCTTGGTGAGAAAATGAGAAGAAAGTGTACGCTGATCACAGAGTCTTTCCCTCCAGGATTACGCTGGGAATCAGATCACCTATGGGGCTGCCAAGTCCCTGCAGAACTGCTGCCACAGATGATGGCCAGAGGAGTTATAGTTCGCTGCACCCCACCCTGGAGCCACAGGGGCCACGGTAAACAGACTGTGCCGGGGTGCCATAATCCCCCCCCCTCACACACACACACACACACACACACACACACACACACACACGAGATGAAGAGCTGAGGACCTGACCCACCAGCCCCCTCAGTCACTGTGCTGACAAAGACAAGGACCCTCCTCCCCCCACCTCCTGCTGCTTCTTAGATGCTAAAAGGGCATGGGGAGGCAGTGAGGAAAGTCTCCCCAAAGCACTCCTCCCAAGGATCCCTCATCCTCAGCACAGAAACCCACACACCAAAGTCCCTATAGCACCCTCTATATTTACACATTGCTTCCAGCTGAGAAATGCAAAGCCATATGTAATCCCATATAGGTTACAGTTCCTCTTTGGGGGTAATAAAGAAATAGGCAGGGGATCAGCAGATGCGTGTGGTCATGTCACTGGACTCCCATGTAGTCAACCATGGTTCAAGTCCTGGACCTGACGGCTTAAAACTCATGCCAGGCACATGTGCGTGCGTGAAATCCTGAGAGGAGAATGGAAGAGAAGGGATTGTGGTGTGGCCATGTCCCGGGGGTTGATTTCTCACTTTCTGTCTCTCCGGTGAGTGCATGTGCCCTATAGCAAAAATCTTTCTTACAAAAAAAAAAAAAAAAAAGTGAGAGAAAAGAAAAAAAAAAGAAATAGGCAATATTTATCCCTATTTCCCACGGCAAAGAGAAACACTCAGAGATATATTATATTAGGATTAGGGACCCCCGCATACTCACACAGAACATTGCACTGTATGAAACACCTTCATTACACACACACTGTCACTCAGCCTAGGCATGGACTCTTGGCTCCACTTCATGGATGAGGAAGGGAAGATCTGAAGAGATGACTTGCCCAGAGGAGACAGAGACAGACGGAATCTGCCCTATATCCCAGAGAGGTTCAATTTACCGGACAGAACCATCCAGCTCTGCAGCAGGGCTCTCTCAGGGGTTGGCACTGCCAGGGCCAGGTCCCAGGTGAGGACAAGTAGTCACCTGGCTCAGGGCTTTCCAGTATGTATAGAGTTCCTTGAGGCACTCATTCAATAGCTCCACTGAAACTATTTGCAATCCCAACTTGATAGATATTACCATAGGTGTGAAGGTACAGGGTCATTCTCCTAATGTTTGGCTGTTACTGCTGCTTCTTCTCCTCCCCTGGACCCCCGAGTGAGTTAAAGGCTTTTCAAAGTCAGAACTCTACCCTGACTGCACAGGTCATGATGTTCAGGAAAAGCCTCAGGAGGCTCCCACATCTTGGGCTGCATGTGGACACTGTTGCACTGCCTGGGGAATGGTTCTCCAAGGACTTGCCTCATTACCTCTCTTTTCCCAGGGTGCTGGAGGTTCCCTGCTTCTCACTGCTGGACCTGGGGTGGGGATGGAGCTAAGAAGGAGGAGGAGTGCTCCATTACAGGCAGATGGAAGTGGGCCCTAGCACTTAGGCCAGCCTGAGTCCTGGCCTGCTTCCTGGAGAGTGGGAGATTTCTTCTCAGCAGAGAGCACCCGGAAGTCTGGTTGCATGACAGAACCGAGGGTACAGAGCACTGATCTGTAAGCACTCGTATCTGTTACATGAGCTGCAGCCTCAAGTTCTGCCTGCTCCACATCTTATTTTAAATCCCGTGATCATATTTATGTAAGAAGTAATCCTGGAGCAAAGGATGTATATATGTTCACATGCATCCTTCATACACATCTGTACAGAAGGTCTGGAGGGTTACACAGCAAGCTGGTAACCATAGTGACCTGGGGCACCACCAGGTTCGGGAAACCACTGAAAAAGGCTTTGGGACTGTGACTGAAATCCAAGTTGTCCATTTCTCTTTTTTTTCTTTCTTTCTTTTTTTTTTTTTATTTATTCTTTTTTTTAATTCCCCAGAGGGTGAATATCATTGCCAGAGAAAAAAAAGAGAAAGACAGGAGGAGAAAGCACCCCCAACAGGGGTGACCAGACCACAATCCTGTTTCCTCCATTTCTGCATCCTGTCAGGATTTGGGATATGCATGCATGAATGCCTGGTGCTTTTTTTCAAGCATGGTCAGTCATGTGGGACCCAGCTCCATTAACCAGGCCACAGGCTGGCCCCAGATCTTCCATTTCTCTTTCTCTCGAGAAGAGGGGGAGGCACACATGTACACGCACCCAGTGCATTTTTCAAACTACCAAGTCTGGGACTCGAACTGCACAGTCGTCCATGTGGCATCCAGCCACCTTAAGCTCCATGCCACTTGCTGGCCCAGGTTGTCCATTTCTTAGTGATGTTCTCTTAAACAAGTTTCTTAACCTTCCTCCAAGTGCACACCATCCAGGAAATGAAAATGATACCTGCCCTGTAGGATTGTTATAAAGGCCAGAGACAATGTGCCTCATATACTGGCACCAACACACATTTAGGAAGGGCTACCTGTGGTTACTATACTGCTGAAGCGGAGGGCTTCCACAAGGGTGCACCTCTATCCCCCCAGAGTCACATTGCAGGGGAGAAGACATCACTCATTCTCTAGTTCTGGCTTTGGATTTGACTCTGCAGCAACCCTGGCCAAATCCATTCTTCACCTGCTCTGTGCCCTATGGGCTGACCCCTGTGGACTGCCTCACCAGGGCTATATCCCCTTGGGGTCCGGCTGGGCTCTGCCAATGGGCAACACCAGCACAAGGTCTGGGTTTTTACTCCTCCCAGTTCTCCCTCATTAAAACTCTGCAGGTGGTATGGCGGTTGAGGCACTGGTCATGTTCGACCACGATTCGAGTCCTGGACATGGTGGCTTACTTTTTCACTTTCTTTCTCTCTCTGGGGAGCATGCATACCCTATTGCAAATTGTAAAATAATAATAATGATAATGAATAAAATTGAATAAATAATTATTTAAAAAAGCCAAAAACTCCAGCAGTTGTTTGATCAGTTCTAGAGTGGTAAGGCCTACTGGGTAACCCTCGTCTTCTCCTTCTTCTCCTTCTTCTTCTTTTCTTAAAAGAATTATTTTATCTAACTTTATTTATTTTGATTTGAGCAGAAAGGGACAGAGTGAGAGAGAGAGCGAGAGAGAGCGAGAGAGAGAAAGCAAGCTGCCAGGTCCAGGACTTGGACTACGGTCGGCCATGTGGGAGTGCAGTGCCCTTAACCACCACACCAGCTGCCAGCCCCTGGGCAGCCCCTCTTCCATGACTTAGTTCTTAACTTCCCTGTAAGCAGTCCCTTCATTAAACTCTCCCCATATAAACCCTTGTTTAGGGCATAATCTGATCCCTGCCAGGACCCTTATGAAAACAAAGGGGAGGAGGTTTTTTGATACTGTAGTCAGAATGACAGGGAAGAAGTGTCGGCCTTGATCACCACTTCATTTTGTTCTAGGCATCGTGGAAGTAGTTGTACGTAAATTGTCTCACTTGGAGCTGAGAACAACTTGGTGAGGCAGGTGCTCTTATTATCCCCATTTCTCAGATGAAGAAACTGAGTTGTAAAGATATTAAGGATCTTGCTTGAGGTCAAAACACCTGGCAAATGGAAGAAGTAGAATTTGAACCTGAGCAGTCTGACTCTGGAGGCTATGCCCCCACACATTCGACTCTTCCCAGGGAAGGGTCAGAAAGGATGTAAAGAGCAAAGGGAAGTGGGGAGGCAAGCTCAGCCTCTCTTCCTATGGCCTCAGCTGCCCAAGATGCCTTCCAATCCATGAGATTCTTCCCCACAGTGGAATGGGGTCACAGGGGCATATTCCAGCCACTAACCAGGATCGTCGGCCATGGAGTCTAACCCAAATTAGAGGAGTGTCAATGAAAACAAAATGCTCTAAAGAATTGTGTTTAGGGGGAGAGAGAGAGTTGGTGATAAACTGGGATCCTCTTCAGTATGAACAAATGCCAAACCAAATCCTGTCTGAATCCTTCAGTCTGCAAGAGCGAGCCCTCTTTGTACTTGCAGAATGTAACAACACACAGCATGAGGGCAAATATTATAAGCAAGTCTGAAAAATGACCTAGAGACAAACTCCTGAATAACATTTTTCATGAGAAAAAAAAACACAAATATTGTTGACACTAGGTAATTTTATCCACAGAGAAACTAACGGTAACTCTAGTACTTTCTGAGGAACGCAATCCCTTGGGCCAAATAACCAAAACACCAAAACCACACAGTATCTTCCCAGTGCCACCCAAACCTCTCCCATACTGCAGGGCCTGTTGACAGGCCCATAATGCACCAGCAACGAGAGCCAGCGTGCTCTCTTACGCCCACTGGCCAGCTTCATAAATGAGACGTGGAACATCACAGACTGATGCACAGTGCAATTACAGCATAACAGAATAAACATCTGACTGCAAAATGGTTTGTGTCTTCATGCAGTGACTGAGCCCTGATTCTCATTCTACTTCATATAACATTTACTTTTTCTTTGCTTAAATCTACCTCCCTCTTGCAGAAGAGGGAAGATGTGTAGGTGGTAGGATGAAAGATTCAGCCTGTGCATATTACACATAGCTCAGTAATCCAAGGAGAAAATAAGTTGTCAAGGAATGGTACTTGTACCAAACAGGCAGAAAATAACATGTTAAGACACACTGTCAAACAGTTCCCAATAGGGAGGACATGCCAACCAATTAGCCGTGACTTACACATTTTTCCTAATGCAATTTTGAGGCACTCTGGATTACAACTCTTTGACTGGATGACTACACCTGAACTAATTCTGCAAACAAAGATGCCAGCAAGGATTTTAAGAGGACCTTACAAAGGACCCAGGAATACCAAAGGTGATTTACAAAGCTTGGAGCGCCATCTTACCAGTTGAGTCAGCCCCAGAAGCTCTGCCACTCGTCTGCTCCTCAGCATTGATGAGCTGCAGATCTGTGTATGAAGGGCCCATACTAGGGCTGCTGGTATCTTCAGAATGGGTGGTCCAGCTGCTCTCAGAGGTCAGAGGGCATCTCCCCAGGGAGTCAAAGGAAGGGCATGTCCAGCAGGGCATGGTCAATGGTAGAGCTGGGGAAAGACCAAAACCCAAAAGCATACAAAATAAACAGTTGTCCTTTGTTTGTCTTTTGCTAGTCTTGCTTTGAAGTCACTTAGAGCCTATAAACCTTAACAGCCACACGAGGCAAGCTGACCAACTGGGACTCCATGCTGAGTCAGTTTCAAAACCATTATTAAAAATGAAGTCTTAGGACTCCCAAATCAAAGAAGAACTTCATTAAAGAATTATGAGTTACTTTAGGATATAATTTTATTTTTAAATTTAGATTTCAACTTCATTCAAATCAAAACTACACGAGTCTTAAAGTTTTACCCTTACCCTCGTATTTCCTACTTTTAGTAGCACACCAATAGAAAGAATTCATCAATTTACACTGCAAAATTGGAGCCAGTTTGGTTTAGTGAATAAGAGTAAATACACAATGAGTCTACCAGTAGTACACAGGCTGGATACTTCTGCTCACAGACAGGCCAAGACCACAAGAAAGGCCTGAGTTTGATTTCTGGTCCACCCTAAAGGGCCAGGTATGGTAGCATGCATCTGTGACCCCAGCTATTTGGGTGGCTGAAGCAGGTGGGTTGCAACACAGCAAGACCTTGTCAAGAAAACCACCCCCTCCCACACACATGAGTAAATACATGACTATATATGTACATGTATGTGCAATATTTTCCTGCTTATCTGAGTCCAACTGTACCTATAGATTGTACAGACTGGTACTATTCAGTTAGGATAATGGCTTGTCCCCCAAAGGTTCATGTTTTAAAATTCAGATACTGGGAATGGCGAGTGTTGTGGTGGTTGAGATGCTGGATTCCCACATGGCCAACCGTGGTTTGAGTCCCAGACCTGGTGGCTTGCTTTCTCACTTTCACTCTCTCTGTCTCTATCTGGTCAAAATAAATAATAATAATGATGATGATAAATAAAATTAAATAAATAATTCTTTTTAAAAATTATAAATAAATAAAACTCATTTCCCAGTGTAATGGCCCTGAGAGGCAGTGGTGAGACCTTGAGGCTTCACTTTATGAATACTTCAATAGAGTGTCACAAGACCCAGTGAGTTCTAGATTTCAAGAGAAGAGATTATTCTTGTTAGAGCAGGTTGTACTACAGGAAGATGGCCACACCTAGGTCTCTCTCTTTCTGCATGCACCTGCCATCCTCTCTGTTTGGGTCAACCATGTTGTGACATATGCCAGTCTGATGCCAGCCCTAAGGCTTCATTCACCAGCATCATGAGTCAAATTAACCTCTATTTCTTTGATAGATCACCCAGTCTCAGGTACTTTTGTTAACAACATAGTAGTGGACTAAGACAGGTATATATGGAAATGAGATTTACCAGGACTGCTAACCTGCAAGCAGTATTATGAAAAATATCCTTAAGGGAGGAATGTATAGATGGGACTTGGCTTTATTACTTTAGCCCTGAGCACCAATTCAGCCTTTCAAAACAACTTTAAAAAGTGTGCATGTGTGGGGCCGATAAGTGGTGTGGTGGTTAAGACACTGGGCTTCCACATGGTTGACCACAGTTTGAATCCTGGGTCCAGGAACTTGAAAAACACACCAGGTGGGTATGTGTGTGCCCAAAATCCTGATAGGAGAATAGAGGAGAAGGGATTGTGGTGTGGCCATCCCCTCTGGGAGGTAAGTTTTTGCTTCTCTCTCTCTCCCCTCCCCCTCTGACGAGTACATATGCCCGGGGGGGGTGGTGTTTATGTGTATGTGCTTGTGTGTGTGTGTGTCTGTGTGTGTGCTATAGGGCATGTGTGCTTGCTGCAGAAAAGAGACAGAGGAAATGAGAAAGCACTCTCTCCAGGGAGATGCCATGCAGCAATCCCTTCTCCTCCAGTTCCCTCTCAGGATCAATCCCTTCTCCTCCAGTTCCCTCTCAGGATTTTGGACATGGATGCATATAAACCTGGTGTGTTTTCCAAGCCACCAAGTTCAGGACTTGAAACTGCACAGTCAGCCATGTAGGATCTAGTTGCCTTAACCACCATACCACCAGCTGGCCCACAAGTGTGTTTTTAAAGGAAACTTTCAAATTCTTCTAATTTGTCTTTCACATGTGTTCTTCGTGGTGTATCATAAGAATTGCATCATTGCAAATTTACCAAAAAGTGCTGAAAATAATTACTGGAAAAAGTGTGGACAGAAAAGAAAGAATAAAAATAAAAGACACTACCCTTTATTGAGTACTCATCAAATGTCAGGCACTTTTACAAATGTAATCTCATTTCATCCACCACTCCAGAGATAGGCAGTAGTCTTATTTTACACAGGGAGAAAGAGACAGAGAAGTTAAGAAATTTACTCAGGATGATAAATAGTCAATTCTCTTGACTGAAAAACCAAAACGATAGAGCTGGGTTAAGAAATAGAAAGAGGAAATGAGATTAAAGAGAAATGAAAGAACAAATAGTAGGCCAACAGTGGCATGTTGGTTAAGGTGGCTGGATCCCACATCGCTGACAGCACAGTTCAAGTCCTAGACCCAGTAGTTTGAGAAACACACCAGGTGCATGTACATACCTGTCCAAAATAGTGAAAGGAGAAATGAGAAGATACTGCAGTGTGGGCATCTCCCCTGGGGGGAGAGGGCACTTTCTCACTTTCCTTCTCTCTCCCTCTGTCTCTCTCCTGAAAATGTATATGCCCTATGCAAATTTTTAAGAAGGAAGAAAAAGAGAAGCAGTGCAATTATTATCATAAAACTCAGGAAGGTGGTGGTATGGGAGGAGGGAAGAGGACGCCATGAAGGAGGATGTGTCCAGTGGGGAAATGGGGGGGGGGTTCTGAGTGATGACAAAATTCTCTTTTTGTGTGTGCATTTTGCCAGAGGCCATGTGTACTTGCCAGAAAGAGAGAGAAGGAAAGAGAGAGAATCACACACAAGGAATTGTCACACTGCAATTCCTTCTCCAGCTCTCCCTGCTCTTGAGATTTTTGAGTGCACACACATATCGAGCTGCTGGGTTCAGGACTGAAACCACACGGTTGGTTATGCGGGCTCTGGCTGCCTCCACCACCAAGCCATGGAGCCAGACAGACAATACTCTTTTTATTAATTTGGGTGACAAGTTGAACTGCTGTTCCTTCTATAATTTAATACACATTTTCACTGTTCCTTTATATTTATACAACAGTTAATAAAACTTATTAAAACCATGTATCACGGCTGACTCTGATTATGCAATTGGAAGCTATCTTGATTATTTGTAATTTCACATGGACTCTTTATATTTGTTAGATAAAACACAAATGTTTCTCTTGAAAGAGAAACTAAGAAAAATGCAGCTGCAAAGCTGCTGTAATGTATTTGCTCAGTATGCTTTATTTATTTATTAGCTTAGAATTGTTGGATGAGTTCTTTTACTTAGCTTCATTTACTTAGGTTTTACTCAATGTCCTCAGGCCAAAAGCTTTATTGAAGTGAGGAAGCATCAAGCCTGGAGCAGATTCTTCTCCCAGAGACCAGACCTTTGATGTCTGGGCCAGACAGCAGAAGGCTGCTGCCATCATATGCTTCATAGCCATGTCTATCCTGCAAGGCAGAAAGGGAAAAGAGATGGAAATTTGCCTCTCCTCTCCCATGAGGTCAAGAGCAAGGAGTCCTGGATCCACACTGCCTGGAACAAGATACTTAATTCATCTGTTCCTCCATCCTCTCTTCTGTAAAATGGGGCTAAAAAGAGCACAAAACTCATAAGAAGACGAGGACAATACTGACAAACTGCTGGAAAAGTGCTTGGTACAAAGAAAGAACTCAGCCTGGGTTAAGTGGTGGTGGTGATTATTTCTAGGAATATCCTTATGCCCATATTAACTTGAAATTTCCATTTAGAGTTCCAACTTTATATGTTCAAAAAATTAGCTCCTGTAAAGCCCTCCAAACCAGTTCCTTCATCCTTTCAGTCAAGCAGAACAAAACTGTCATGTCATGCTAGATTCTTTTCATGTCTGGGTCCTCACAAGTTTCTGTTCTAGTCCTACCTTTAAACTACATCTGGAATCCAACCACTTCCCACCATCTGTCTAAATGAACAACCTGGTCTAAGCCACCAGCCTCGCTTGCCTGGATCAGTGCAGTGGCCTGCAGCCTGATCTCCCATCTTCTATGCTAGACCTCCTTGTGGTCTTTCCTCAACTATACTACTCCCAACTGCCACGCAACAGCAGCTATATGGTTTTGACAGAACTAACTGTTAATCTTAGGTTGGATCATGCCATGCCTTTGCTAAAACTTGCCACTGGCCTCCTACGTGGCCCATAAGAAAAGTCAAATCTTGGGTCAGCTAGGTGGCATGGAAGTTAAGGCAGCTGGATCTCACATGTACAACTGTACTGTTCAAGTCCCAGACCCGAGGGCTTGAAATACACGCTGGTATGTGTCTGCATGCCCAGAATGCCTAATGGAGAAAGAAAGAGAAGGGACTGTGGTACGATCATCTCCCCTAGGGGTTGCTTTCTTGCTTTCTCTCTCTGTCTCTGTCTCTCTCTCTCTCCAGTGAGTACACATGTCCTATAGCAAATCAAAAAGGAAAGTCAAATCTTCACCATGTCCTTAAAGGACCTATGAGTCTGAGGCCCCACAATCTTTCTACCTAATTTCCTCTTCTTCCTGCCCTCTCTCCACTCTAATCACACTAGGAGCACAGCTACCCTCTTGGGGGCTTTCCACTAGCTGTTCTTTTCACAGAGAAGACTCCTTTCCAATTTTTGCAAAGCCCACTCCCTCACTTCCTTAGGTCTTCACTCGTATTTACCTCTTAAAAAGTCACTCCCTGGCCTTTTATAAAATTTCACATCTCTTGACCATATTCCCTCCTGTGGCCTCATTTTTCTCTTCCTCCCACTTTTCAAATTACCTAATACACTTACTGTGTGTCCACCTTTTTTAAAATTTCATTTTCTTTTATACATTCAATCACATTATTTACTTACAAAGTGAATATTTCAACATGTGAACATTTCTCCCTAGTCCCCTATTTCAACA